CCCCCCCCCCTCTTGTGAAGAATGCATATTTTGGGCTTTCACCCTTAGTTGCCCTTAGTACTACGAGTTAGTCTCTAAGACAAGCGTGAAAACTTACTAAATATGGAATGGCGATAGATTGCAAATTTGAATATGGGACAAATACCATTGTGTTCAAGATAATCTCTATATTTCGTAAATATGCCAAATTAACAAATCTATACACTTTCCATAAATAGTAATTAGGACCAAACATGACCAACACATATAGGGCATGATAATGAGGGTGTTTGGTAGATATGGTAAGTTATCATCTAGCAATATTGATCGACTAGTCTTAATATGCAGGGGTTTTTATTACTAATTAGTGCAAGACACAATGACTAGCTATATATGCTTAGTTAATAGCATTTAGGAATTTTGTCTTTATGGGCATTTTGAGTGTACTTAGATTAGATGAGCAGTTAACTCAACTAATATAAGGACTGATAAAGGATCTAGCAATACCAACCTCCTACCATCATGGCAGAAAGGAAAGAATATCTAAAAGGACTCACCAACAGGTAACTCTTGATATCCACAGTCATATTCACGACAATTATAATAGTGAACATTTTCACATTCCTTTGTACTACAACTTTTATTTATATATTTTTTGTTTTCCTTGTTTCCCATCTTCTTAAGAACCCTAGAAAAAACTTTTGAATGAACGAAAAGTATGTAAATATATAACAACTATAAAATTAGTCAAAAACATATAGTCAAATCAAAATATAACAACTATAGTAGTAGTCATAGTAAAATAATATAGCTTTAGAAAAGATAAGTTCTTGTTTTTAAATGACTCATTTTAGTAGAAACTTTTAACCTAAATATTTACATGTTTCAATATTTTGAAGTTTGTCAGAACCTTCATTTCTTCAATTTAGATTTCCTTTACCCACACTTTCACCATTTAACAATTTACTTCAAGTGCTAATAAATCTAAAGATAAACTATAACAAATAAATATTATAACCCTTCCAAAAACCTCAATAGGCAAACTCTCAAATACCAACACTAGTTTAGCACAATGAATCACTTTTGATAATTTAGTCAAAGTTATTACAATTCTACTACATGCAAGTGAACTAGCTTCACTATCAACCACTTTGGGGTTGATGATCGTTTGATAAAGTAACTTTATAAACATATTTTTTAGGATTACATAGATATAATATAAATATCACAATTATAATAACTTGATCATCAATTAAGCAATACCACAAGCAATGTTTCTACCATTATTATAAAAATTTATATAAATGTCAAGTGCTAAGTCAATTTGACAAAATGCAATATAAATACCACAACCCACTAAAATAGATTTACAACACTATTGCAAATATGACTGTGGGTATTGAAAGTTACCTGTTAACTAGTCCTTTAGATATTCTTTCCTTATTGCCACAATGTCAAGAGGTTGATATCTTTGTTCCCTTTTTCAGTCTCCGCTTAAGCTAGTTGAGAAATTAGTCTTCACATGTGCATTTGACAAAATGAGCATAACAACGGAATTCCTTAGTGCTATTAGTTAAACATACTTGGGTTAGAGAAACTCATTTGTTGACTTGCATTTGCTAGTGTTAAGAACCCCCACGATATTAAGTTTAGTCTCTCAATATTTGTCAGATGATAGCTTATCATGTCTGTCAAACACCCTTGCTATTATGCACTTTATATCAGTTCAGTCCCAATTATTATTATGGAAAGTATTTAAATTTGCTATTTTGGTATATTTACAGAATGTAGAGATTGTCTTAAATACAATAGTGTTGGTCCCTTTTCTAAATTTGCAATCTAGTGCTATTTAGTAAGTTTTGATTTAATCCCAAAGATTAACTCCTAGTACTAAGGCTGATTAAGGGTGAAAGCCCAAAACATGCATTCCTCAAAAGAAGGATTCCAAATATATAGTAAAGATAATGGGTAGATTAGGCATAGTTGACTAACCTAATACATAATCTAGCTCTTACTTGTGTGTTTGTCCTTGTTTTGCATTTGACTTGGGTTTAAGCCCAAGTTCCACATTGGTGGAATACTTATATCCTTGCATTAAATAACACTGAAATAACACTAAACTCTGTTTAGCTCTATTTTGCATGCTGGTCTTAGCATTGGGATGTTGAAAACTCTAGAACTATTCCAACATCACTCCATGCTCCAATCCCTTTGTTCCTTGGGTTGAACGTTTAAGAGTTATTCCATGCTCTAGTTCCTTTGCTCCTTAACTACAAGCTTGGGAATTTGGCTTTGTACCTTCATTAAGTGGCCCAAGGCCATAAGACTTGGGTTTCACTCTATTGTCTTTTGGACACGTAGCATGTGGCACTTGGCATGTGATACATGGCATATAAAGGGTTTAGGTTTGGTTATCCTATAGTAAATCACCATAGGATAAAAGGTGAAAACCACATGTGCTACAATAACTTCTTTTACAATATAAACAAGCTCATATCACTTTCCTTCTGACCAAACTCAAAATTAATCCAACACTAAACTACTTAAAGAGCAATAGCAAAGTTTTTTAAAAAGCATTGAGCATTGTAATCTAAACCTTCCAATAGCAAGTCTAAGAAAAATGGTTTAGCACTTCATTATTATTCATCCCACGACTCACTACTTATAAAACCTTTATAGCCAACATACATCAAAATAAGGACTTTTGATTGTATGATGTGAATATGAGTAATGATATTACAATTCGTTACAAATCATCTCTTAAAGAAAAGATGATTTTCCTATTTGATCTTTCATCCTTAATGACTTTCTTTTTTATCTTAACTTTGACTATATATCAAACTTTCATTTGCACTACCTTCAGTCCAATCTAAAAAAAATGTATAAGAGAGCATAACAATAAACTTGACTAATAGACTAATCCCTGTAGTCTTAATTAATCCACTCATAATCATACCTAGGAAGGATCTATTAGTGTTATGCTAAATAGCTATAGACTAGCCTATTTACCATTTATAGCCTAGTGGGGGTTTACTTTTATCTATGGTATATAAAACAACTCATGATAACCACTAATTAACTTGTGTAAATTGAGTCTAAGTTACTCCTTGGGTTGTACATTCAAAAGTCATTCTATGCTTTGATTCCTTTACTCATTGATTAAATGTTCAAGAGTTTGGCTCCATCCCTTTGTTTAGTGGCCCCATGCTCTAAAACCTGAGTTCCACTCCATTGCCTTTGAACACATAGCCAAAGGTTTATATTTTGCTCTGTGGATATCCTCTAGTAAATCATCATAGGGTAAAAGGTAAAAATTGATGAACTAATCAACCATGTCCTCTATTAATAATATGACAATCAAGAGGCTAGTCATTTTGGGAGAATGAAGACTTACAAGTCGATCAAGTACAAGTTCTCTTGGAAGAACATGAAAAATAACATTCTTGAGTATTGTAAGATAGACAAAAATTATTAGCAAGTGAAGGTACCAAAAGAAAAGCCAATAGGGCATTTGGTGCCATTGTCTATCCTAGAGGATAGATGGATAAGCATATCCACAGATTTTATCATATATTTTCCAAGAACACATAGCTAAAATGAACAAGCTTGGGTCATTGTGGATCAATTGACCAAGTTTTTAAAGTTGATTCCTTTGAAAAAGGTAGCAAAACATGTGAACTTAGTTGCAGTATACCTTAAATATATCTTTCCTCAGTTTAGTTTGCCAATAAAGATTGTAAGTGATAGAGACTCAAAATTCATAAATGAATTTTGGAGAAGCTTTGTGAAATTCATAAAGATTAGCATTAAGCTATGTAGTAGAAATCATCCTCAAACAAATGGACAATTGAGTGAGTTAATTAGGTGGTTGAGGATATGCTAAGATGCACTGTTCATATGCAATAAAGATAGTGGGATAAATTTTTATTCCTTGTGGAGTTTGTTTATAACAATAGTTAACATGGCAACATACTTTATATGGCCATCATCCAAAAACAGCTTTTGAGCTTAGTTTACTTAGATCTCAAGAATCTAAAATGAATCAAAGAGTTTATCTATAGAATTAGATGAAATTCTAAATGTATTTGCAAGTGGCTCAAGACCGATTTAAGAGGTATTCTAATGAGTATCAAACATTTAAAAAGTTCAAGGTTGGCAATTTGGTTTATGTGCAATTGATATTTTCAGTATCACAAAGTCATACAACCATAAGGAGACTGGAGAAGTGATAAATTGTCTCCTAAATACTCAAGTCTTGAATATATGGCTTACCAAGTGAAGTTGCCAAATGAGGTGGGTGAAAGTACACCCAATTTTCTATATCACCCTGTTGAAAGATGTTTTGATAAGGAATGACTCTTGAAGTATCCTCTTAAATGTCACAGGCTGAGGAAGAAGGGATAGAGCTAGAGCCCAGTTTAATCAATTTATTTTACGTCACAACTAATGAAGGGCTTTTTGGGACAGTGGAGGTGGAGCGTGCTCACAGTGGCACAGAGGGCTCTAGGTTGGTGCATCAGCACAGTAAATCTTCCTTAGGTTCTAACATGGGAAGCTTCCATTACAAGACTCTGGCTCCTGGCGCCTCCCTATCTAAGTTTTGCAGCCGGTCCGAGTCTTTAATACAGGAGCCTGAGTCTTTAATAGAAGACGAAAGTTAAAAACCAACGTGAATCTTTACTTCACATCTGTTGCAAAGGAAAGCCTGTGACAACCAGCAAAAACATCACAGAGAAGGCAAGACCTGCACAAAACTAGAGTAGCAAAAGAATATGGATAAACGGATTAGCTTCGTAGAAAAGAAAAACGGAGACGCCAGGAGAATTATAGAGAAACAATCGCGCGAGCGTTAGTAAGAAGATCGATAAGCACCACTTTTCTGTTTGGAAGGAAAATCAACGTCTTGGTCACGCTGGAGTTTTATCTCAAGTGCACTGCCAGAGATCGACACTCCATTCATGGCAGTCATGGCTGCCTCGGCAGACCGTCTCGTGTCCATTGTCACAGTTCCTGAAGTAAACCGGAGATTTGCAAACAAACGAGAAATAAGAAATCTGATGCGATCAATCGGTACTGTAGAAGTAAATAACGAGGGCGAACTGCAAGCACTTGGCAGGAAATCGTTTCAAGGATCTTTCAGTCAGGGAAAAAGGGAAAAGCTCGTTGGTTTTGGCCAAGCTCGGATAGAGGTAAGCGTCTCGGATCATTTCTAGCTAGAGCGAAGCGAACGACGGACACGAAAGTGGCTATAGAAGAACACTGAAAGTCGAGAAGCTGGAAGCTCGCATGAATGAAGGACAGAGAAAAAAAGAAACTACAGAACAGAAAAAAATGGCTTGGCTTACCACACGGCTGGCCCGCAGCCATTTCTTTGGCGGTAGCGACTTTGGCATATAAAACACTCCCGTAAGGCTTGAATAGGTCCACCAAGTCCGAGTCCCGGTAGTCGGCAGAGATCCCATACACTGACAACGTCGCACCTGGAAAAAGAAGAAAAAACACGAAAAGGATGAGAAGTAGCTAGATCCTCACAGAAAGAACTCACCTTGTGGCCTAGAGGGGCTGTTAGCAGCTGAGGGAGATTGCCGTGAAGAAACACCGTCGGGCTTGAGTGAAGGGTTGACGACTCCTGAAAATGGTTGAAGCCGATGCTTAGAGAGAATCAAAACAAGAAAAGACGCACCTGAGGATCGCGCCAGGAATGCCAACGGGTTTTGGCTTGTAGATGGCTGACTTGTACCGGGTAAGTTGGTTGGTCCTGGAGCTCCTGTGATCTGGGAGGATGGCTGAGGAGCGTAGAGCAGCTGCTGTGGGAATTGCTGCTGGAGGCCCGGAGTGGCGGAGTGACCACTCAACTGATACGCGGCGGCGGCGGCGGCAGCTTGATGCTGCTGGATGAGAACTTGGTGCATGGTTTGCTGAAGCGCGGCTTGTGGATTGGAATGGAGCTCCTGCCCGGCCTGGCTTGCGGCGAGCGAGGCCGGCTTCTCCCACTGCGTCACACCCGTGACTGTGTTGTAGTAGAAGAGAGAGCCATTTGGAGCGTAGTGCGTCGTCCATGTCTCCACAGGAGCGCTGGAAGGAGTGGCGGCCACACTCCCATTGGCGACGTATGGAGCGCTGGAAGAAGCCACTGGATAGTTCACTGATGCTGCCACTGCGCGGAGCTTCTCCACCTCCTTGGAGAGCTGTTCTTGATGATCCTTGCCACTAGCAGAAGTAGAAACTCCACCACCACCGCCACCACCACCGCCAGCGCTGCCACTGCTTGGCTCGTAAGTAGCTTTGAGCCTCTGGAGCTCCTGGCGGAGCGTGTCATTCTCGGCCCTCATCACGGCCATTTGCTGCGCATCCGATCGAGCGCGATGCAAATCCTGTGTCATCTGCTGCGCCTGGAGGAGGAGCTCTTGGCGATGCGAATTCACCGTCTTGATTTCGCTCCTCGCCTGCTCCAGCTCCCTCTCCAATGCCGACATCTTGGCGTCGTTCTGGGAGATAATCTGGCGGAGCTGCGCCACATCCTGCCTCAGCGCGACGTGCGTCGCCGCGAATCGCTGGTTCTCGGTCAGCAGGCGCTGGATTTCCAGGTGCTGGGCCGCAAGCTTCTGCTCGATGATCGGCGGAGGCGGCACGACCATGGAGCCCCTGCCGTGAGGCCGCAAGATTGCGACTCCTTGCTGAGGGACTCGCATCCTGCCCCGACCTGCCATTGTACCAATCGGCGAGGCGGCGGACTCACCTCTTGCGGCTCCCTCACGAAGAACCCTAGAAATTTACTTGTTACTCGCAGGAATCGAACCACGACCACCCAGTTTGTACTTGCCCTAGTGCTGTGCTAAGGAGAATCGAGCCTTGGACCTCCTATTTCGTACTAAACACCGTCACCGTACGCTCTTCATTGCTGATGAAACGTAACATCGCGAGGGAAGTTTTCGTCCGCGATCCATTCGCGCATCGATCGATCTCTCTACTAGTCAAATGCGAGTACGCTGCGAGGTCGCCATCTCTCCGGGAAGGGAATTCTACAAAGCGCGGCCAGGTATTGCAGGTCGATCAAGAGCTTTGGATTCCAGCTCTTGAGCTCTCAGATTCCGGGGGCTAGATCGGTGGATCGAGCATGGTAAACAACTATGCGAGCTACACAGCGATTGCGATCCTGGGGATTATAGGGATTGGATACCTCATCCTCAATGGCAATATCCGGCTGCCCATCAAGCTCCCGGAGATGGGGTTTGTGCGAAGGGATGGCACGCAGTTCTTTGTGGATGACCGGCCTTTCTACATCAATGGCTGGAATTCCTACTGGATGATGAGCGAGGGGGTGGAGTGGCTCAGCCGGTCCAATGTGAGATCCATCCTCGACGATGGAGCCGGCATGGGGCTCAACCTTGTGAGAACTTGGGCTTTCAACGATGCTGGCTACCATGCATTGCAAAGATCTCCTGGCCACTACGACGAGGACGTTTTCAAGGTACTATAGGTAGTGCTGCTCTTTAGAAGTTTCTTTTTCTCTTTTTTCTACCTAGAGAAGTGTTCTAAGTAGCTCGTGAGATTTTCTTCTTCTTCTTAGGATCATAGTTTTCCTTCTTCTTCTTAGGATGGATTTTTCGTCATAGAAGTGTTTCTTTGCATTTCAAGATAAGTGTTCTAAGTAGCTTCTGATCTTTTCTTCCTCTTCTTGTTCTTAGGATGGATTCGTTTTGGTTTTTTTTCATAGCACTTTCTTTCTTCTCCTTCTTAGGATGGATTTTCGTCATAGAAGTGTTTCTTTTCATTTCAAGAGAATTGTCCTACTAACTCTTCTTCTTCTCCCTCTTAGGATCGTTTTTGGTTTTTCTACATTGAAAACTTTTCTCTTTTTTCTTTTGAAGTATCCTGAGTCTTCTTTGTCTTGAGGCAGGCTCTGGATTATGTAATCGTTGAAGCCCGTCGTCGCAACATCAGGTTGTTGCTGAGCCTGACAAATAATCTGGAAGCATTCGGTGGCAAAGGACAGTACGTTTACTGGGCTCGTCAAGCCAATGCCGACGTCGGCTATAGCAACGACACTTTCTTCTCCGATCCAACCATCAAAGACTACTACAAATCTCACGTCAAGGTAGATCAATGCAGCCAGTCGTTTCGTTGAGATCTTGTTGTTTTTCCTTGTGGCAGAAAATACTAACAAGAGTGAACAGCATTACCGGGGTGGCCTACAAAGACGAGCCAGCCATCTTCGCATGGGAGCTCATGAACGAACCACGCTGCATCATTGATCCCTCGGGAAACACACTACAGGTTCTTTACTTTTGCAAAGTTTCACTTAAAATACCAGAGTTTTGGACGCAGACTTGGATCGAAGAAATGTCCGTGTACGTCAAGTCCCTGGACAGCAAGCACCTGCTAACTGTTGGACTGGAAGGATTCTACAATAGTTGGAGTCCCGACAGCTTAGTAGCCAATCCAGGACACTGGGCGGATTTCCTTGGCTCGGATTTCATACGCAACCACCTTCTCTCGACTATAGATTTCGCTTCGATTCATGCGTATCCGGATATATGGTGAGACTGTCTCTCTTTTTCTTTGATCAGAGTTTCACGTAGCCTGCTTTTTTCAGGATGCCCGAGGTGAGCTTCGAGGAACAGCTCAAAGGATTCTCTAAATGGGTTGATACGCACGTCCAAGACGGTGCTTTGAGATTGCAAAAGCCGGTGCTGGTCACAGAATTTGGGCTCAAAACGAAATCTAGCACGAGACACCGGCTTGAGCTCTTAAAGGCAATGTATGACGCGGCCTTCGACTCGGCACGAAACGGAGAAGCGTGTGCCGGGGCAATGCTCTGGCAACTCCTGGAAGAAGGCCTTGACGAGTATGGGGATGACTACGCGATTGTGCCGCGAGACGAGCCTCAAGTCACGGAACTCGTTGGAGCTCATTCCTGCCGGCTTGAAAAGCTTTTTCACTCGAACTTCACAGCAGCAGTGACTCACAGGAAGAACAAACAGGTTTCTACGTGCGAGCCATTACTGGTTTGAAGTTCGGGGAGGGCGTAGCTGTACAAAGATTCGGTCTGCTTCAAGTTTTGTTGGTATTGGCGACGGGTATACAGTTTTTTGCTTATTTGATATTGGCGAGAAGATCATTCTCAGCTGTGTTACTAATAATGTTTCATGCACAGGCTTACGCATGTGTCGAAACACAAGAAACTATGATTTACTTGTAGCGAATGTTTATCCTGTGAATCGAAGAACACCACCGGGAGGTGGCCTTTGAGCTACATCTTTCATGGGTTGAAGATCAGGTGACGAGTCCACAGCATCTAAGTCGAAGGTGGCGATGGCATGGAAAGTCTCCCTCGAGGCTTTCTCGAACGATCCATACCTGGCCAACGTTGCTTGAGCTCCTGGAGATATCGAGATCTCTTCTAGACTCTGAGGAGAGTGTAGAAACTTGGAGGTACACGAATTCAAGTTCTTCTTCCTCCTCCTCCTTATGACTGATCGTACAGGCCGCTGGAAGCCTTCGTCCTCGGTGGAGATTGCGTCGTCAAACATATCGTCGGCCTTGTTCTTGGCGCTCTTCTCTCGCGGCTCGTCGTTATCGTCGCTCGAGTAGTCCTCGATGAGAAACCTCACTCTCTTGGACAACTTCCGATCGGCCACCACGCCACTCTTTTTCAACGCTGGCTTGGAGAAGACGAAGGCCGCCGAGACTGGAAACGTCGCAAACTTTCCATCGTCGACAGCATGAACTTCGTCGGCCGGCTGCTTGATCTCGGCCTCAGCCATCTCTAGAGCTTCGACTTCGTCGTAGAAACACCGGCTTTGGTCATCAAACTCGGAGCTCCCGCCGCCGCAGTCGACGTCGTCGTCGTATGATCTCTCCTTGAAGCTCTCAAACTCGCCTCCTAAGACATGATCACTGCTGGAGAAATCTTGGTGGTGCTGCTCGCGATAATTCTCCAGCGAAGAACCACGACAAGTGTCATGGTCGACGAGCTTGTGCTGCAGCTTCCAGCATCCCAACATGCTCTTGAAGAAACCACAGCCAGTGGACGACGAGGACGACTCTCTCAAAGACCGGTCCCAGATCTCCAGACTCAGCTGCTTCTTAAATCTTCCACTGCTCAGCGGAGACTCCACGGCGTGATGCTCCAGGAAGTTAGCCCTCGAGGACGCTGCTGAGGACAACGAACACCGTTTACTCGGTGACGACGAGCTATACGACTCTGGACTGGCTCCAAAGACGCTGGCATCGAGTATACTCACTGGAGAAGATCTCATCTCTCCGGGGGAGTTTGAGTCCTTGGAGAGTGACGAGATTGGCGATCGAAGTGGTGAAGCTAGCCGAAGCTGGAGGATGTTTTTGATCCTCTCCGCGAGCCGAGGAGACAGTCCTTGCTGCTGCTGCTGCTGCTGCTGCTGAGTTCTTCCGATCGAAAGGCAAGGAGGTGGCTGGAGGAACGACAGTGGAGAGCTCCCGGGAGAGCTCGAGTAGATCAGAGAAGACGGCGACTTCGGCTTACCGGGTTGTTCTTCCCACTTGAAAGGTACCGAACCGGGAGCTTTGAAGTTTTGATTCTCACCAAAGCTACTCGCCTCCTGCAGCTGTGGAGGACTTGCATTCCCGAGGAGAACTCTCGCTGCCTCGCTGCTGCGCCTGGCTGAACTGTTGCTGCTGGCTGAGAAGATGACCCGCTGCTGCGCTGAGAGATTGGTGAACAAAGGTACCTTGAACATTTCTCCTCCATCTTTGCTTCGAAGTGGTGATGGGGCTCTCTCTTCTTCCAGAGCTCCGCTTAGAACGAACATCTTTCTGGATCACAGGCGGCAGGCTCGCTCGCATTTTCCTCCTGTTATGTCTAGACTTTTGCATCCACTCTCTCCATTTTTCCTTGCCATCCCTTGGAAATCCTCAAAGCGAAAAGACTAACTTGTTCTTGGCACGTTGTCCGGACTATATTTCGTGCAACGTGATGAAACTATTCATACCTGGCATGTCCAAAAATTTCCGGTGCTGGTGCTGGTGGTGATTGTCGCCTCTTTCGCTGACGGTATATGTCTTCTGTACCTTTTTTTTTTTCCTTCTATCCGGACATTCTTTGGGTTTTTCTATCAGGAACATTCTTCCCACTGTAGTTGACACACGGAAAAACCATTTTATGCCAAACTTGGTTCGTATTGGTTTGAGAATAGAGATCACACGTTTAGGATGGGAAGTAAGGTAATGAGATTGCAAACATTAAACAGGAAAGAGAGTTTGATGGAAGCTCACCTTGTAGCAATGACTACTTCTTTTGTTTGAGCGGCTTGAAGCTGTATTTCTTGCGAGAGACCTTGCGAGGCCTCGTGAACGCCTCCGGCTCCGGACAAGACGGCTCCACTTTACTCCGTAGCAAATAGAGTTCGTTCTGCGAGTATGGAACTCGATGGTATCCATTCTTCTCGCTCGCCTTCATGGTAGCCTTCAAGAGATCGAGAATATTGCGGGTGGTGGCCTGGATTTTCAGCTGCGCGAGGAAATCACTCCAGCTCTCCAATGCCGCAGCGTCTCTCGCGAGCTTGAGGAGCTTGGTGCTCACATCCTCTGCCGGGAAACCATACCTTCGATCCAGCTCCACGGGGTCAACGGTCTTGGCCAGATGAACAAAGTTGACCTGGAAGACCAGGGCTTTGAGGGTGGCGGAGCACACCTGAAACGTTTGCTGGAGTCGTATCTCTGAGTTATAGTCGCCTGGCTCCACATACGCGAGGTGTGGATGTTTCTTTAGATATGTGAGCGCACTCCTCGTGAGGATCTCCTTGAGGACGAGGCCACCGAGCTTGCTACAATCCACCTCCGGATCCACCAGCGCATACATGAGGAAGGCTCCCAGGTTTGGATTCGAATCTCTTGCTCGGGACTTGATATCTTTCGTAAATTGGTCGATCTTGGAGCGGATTTCGAGAGCCAGGGCCGGATCTTCCTTGGTTAGCTTCCATAAGAGATGGTAGAAGAGGAAAAACACATTAAGGAACTTCTGGGACGATGGGATCTTGAGTGATATGAAGGAACCGGCCATGGCGTCCATCACGACTGGGATGCTCTCGAGCACGGTTTCGGGGCTCCAATCGTTGCGTCCACTCAAGTGCTTGAGGCTGTAATCGAGGATCCCCTTTCCTCGCTTGAAATGAGCCTCGCTCAGGGCCAGTGGGAGAAAGTTCCCGGTGTTCTTCTGGAAGTAGGCCTCGTAGGAGATGGGATCAAACTCCGTGACAATATTTTTCTCGAAATCCATCCGGAGGCCCAGAACGGTCCCGTCCTCCTCAAAAGACTTGCGTGTGTAGGAACAGAAGAGATTCCTCTCGAGCAACACATTGTTGGATTCCATAAACTCTTTCATACTCCCGTATGCAACCGTCAACTGTATAATGGCCTGGTCGTTAACTTTGCTCAAAACCCCTCTCATAGTATCATCATCCAGCTTTTCAAGCAAAGAATGCGCAGATTCTCCTGCCTGGTCACTTGAAATACCATCAACTTTCTCCTCCGCCACCTTTGTAGTCGTATCTATCGGATTCAAAGCCGGGAGATCCTGACCGAAAAACCCACAAATCCCACAATAGTACTTGCAGTTCATCCAGCTCAAATCTTTTGCAGCATACTCCACCATGTCATAGGGTTCCGATTCCCGCTTTGCGATAAAATCACTCGAGACCAAGCACAAGAGCTGGAGGAACAAGTACTTGAGCCTATAAGCGGGAGTGTACTCCGAATCGAAACCATCACAACGAACATTGCCACTGGTGATATTAGGGTGGCAGATCATGGATTGCATGGTCACCCTTGGAGGATGATCGGGATAGGATTTCGGAATACGGACATCCAAGTGAAACCTGTGACCCGCAAATGGACCACTAATGGGCGATAAAATCAAACACATATGCTGTAAGTTACTACCATCATGGATGTGGATACGAATTCCTTCCAGCGGCTCCCTCTCGATATCCTCGAGCTCTCGCCATAGTCGAGCATGTCCCAAATCCATGATTACAAACCTAAACTGTGATGGATTCACTTAAAATTAGTATACAACTTTTCTATAGCTTGTTTTTAATGTGTTTTCCAAGGCCAGAGTGTTTGAAAGAAGAATGTAAGCAGAGCCAGCTTCAGGTCCTACCACAAGCGCATGTTTTGCAGCAGAAACCCCGTGCCGAACATCAAAGTGAACAGAGCAAGCTCCGAGAAACGCTCTCCAGGCCTGTCCATCGGGATCATCCATGGCCACCGTTAAGTCTTCCGCGTTCCTCAGCTCTCCTGCTCGTCCAAAGCTCGCAGCAAGCGCTCTGTAGTGATCCTTTTGCGCTAGAATGCCATGATCCATCTCCATGCACGTAAACTTTTGCAGACCCTCGCGAACTAGACCAATGTGGGAACAAGCAGCAAGAACAATCACGTAAGTCTTTCCATCCGGATCAAATCCTTCCAAACACATGATCTTAAAGATCTCGATGGCTTCTCTACAAAAACCATAGCGAGCATACATGGAAGCAACCACATTCCACGAGCACAAATCCTTTCTAGGCATGGAATCAAAGAGTTTCTTGGCCCCGCAAACTCGACCATTGTCGGCATAAGCAGCCACGATTGACGTCCACGCCACTACATTCTTGTTTGGCATGGAATCAAACGTTTGCTTGGCCTGCTCAATCTTTGTTTCTTGGGAGAACGCAGAGATCATCAAAGTCCACGAGAACTCGTCCTTGAGAAACTCCGGCATGGCATCAAATACCTGGCAAGCCTCTTCTAGCTGAGATCTTTGAGCATATGCTTGAATCATACAGTTCCAGGACACCGTGTCCCGGCATGGCATCTTCTCAAAGATGTCTTTCGCATTTTCGATTCCAGCGTTTTGGGAGTAAGCGGCCATCATGGAGTTCCAGGAGAAGAGATCTTTCTCGGGCATTCGATCAAACATCTCCTTTGCCTTGTCTAGACCCTTACACTGCGAGTAAGCTGCCAACATCAAGTTCCATGACACTCCATCGCCCTTTGGAATTCTCGAAAACAATTCCTCGGCCTCTTTCAAAAGCCCTTCCTTCTTGTAGCCAGACATCAGAGCATTCCACGTTGTCACGTCTTTCTCAGGCATTGAATCAAAAAACTTCTTTGCATCTTCGAGCCTTCCGTACCGTGCATACGCTGCTACCATCGCATTTTGGGCCACGAGGTCTCTGGCCGGGCTCCGGTCGTACAGATCCTTGGCCTGATCGAAATGCCCATTCTTGGCAAGCGCTACTATGATTGTTGTCCAAGAGATCTCATTCCTCTCAGGCATGCTATCAAACACATTTTTCGCGCCACCTAAATGTCCATTTGATAGATAACCTGCCACCAGACTCGTCCATGTCACAACGTTTCTTTCTGGCATATTGTCAAAGACAGACTGAGCATCTTCCAGGTGCCCATAATCGGCATTTGCTTCGATTAAGCACGTCCAAGTAGCGGCATTTCGAGACGGCATTCTCTCAAACAATCCCTTTACCTCATCGAGCTTACCCTCTTCGCAGTAAGCATGCATGAGGATGTTCCACGCAACCACATTCTTTGAGGGCATCTCTTCGAAGAAACGTTTTGCTTCTTCCAGATGCCGGTTATGAGCATATGCAGATAACATGGCATTCCAAGTTACCTCGTCACGCTCGGGCATTCTTTGAAACAGTTCTTCAGCATATTCCACGTTACCAGAATACGCACTAGCGGTTATTAGGGTGTTCCATGTTACTAGGTTATGCTTTGGCATAGTGTCAAACTTTTGAAGAGCACACAGCAAATTTCCAGTTTGGGCATTTGCTGATAGTAAGCTGTTCCAAGAGATTATGTCCCATTCGGGCATAGTGTCAAAGATTCTTTGAGCATCTAAAGATTTCTCATGTTGGGCATAACAAGATGTTAAGGTGTTACCCATTAGTACGTCCCAAACTGGAGTAGAGCAGTAGAGATCTTCGGCGAGATCAACTTGTCCACAATTGGAGTACGCGAGCATCATCGACGTCGCAGAGAGCGCATCTCTCTCCGGGATCGCGTCAAAGAGCCGCTGCGCGCGCTCAAGATCCCTGTCCTGTGCAAACATGCTTATCATCGAATTCCACGAGACAATGTCCGGCGATGGGATCTCCGCGAACAATCTCTCCGCGCTCGCGATTTCCCCCCTCTGCGCGTACCCCTGGAGCATCGTGTTGAAGGACGCCGTCGCCCTCTCTGGCATCGCGTCGAAGATCTCTCGCGCCGCCGCCAGATCGCCGCCCCGGACGAGCGCCGCGATGGCGATGTTGTAGGAGAAGACATTGGGCTCCCGGATCGCGAGGAACGTGTTCCTGGCATCGTCCAGGCTCCCACACCTGGCATACATCTCCACGAGGAGATTCGCGAGGTAACGATTGTCCCTGGCATGCTTGCTCGCGGCGATCTGGGCGTGGATTCGCCTGGCGCTTGCGAGATTCTTGCAAGATTTCACAAGCCTCGCGAGCCGGTCTTGCTCGATGATCGATTCCGACGCGATCTGGCCCTTGTAGACAACCGCATCCACCATTTCTCATTATCAAACCTTTCCTTCGTTTTTAAAACTATGAAGAGCGCAAAAATATTCCGCGAACATGCGTAGTTTAAATCTAATATTTTTTTTAATTAATCATTCATGTTAATGAGTTCTTAGAACCATGGATTTAGAGACAATTGTTTATTGCCTGGTTGAGGTGTAAATCTAGATTCACTTCTTGCCACCCTTCATGCTACATCCATCAATCCATCCTTGTACGAGGAGGAATCTAGGAACAAAAGTGAAAAGTGTTGAGCTTGATAAATTGAATTATCGCCCAATCATAGTTATTCACGAGTAGCGATTGAAATATAGCGCCACATCCCACCTATAACGATGTAGGCTAACAAGCCAAGAACGACCAGCCAAATTAATCGCTCCACGAATTTCTCAAGGCTTTCCAAGCGATTCTGAAGGATTAGAATTTGGTGCTGGAGAATTTGTGTTGGATCTGTAAGCGTAACTCCAGTGTCGTGGGTGGAATAAGCATCTTCGAATTGCATAGCGAGGAGATCCCCATCCTCCTCATCCTCATGTATTTCATCCTCCGAATCATCAGTAAAATGATTGTATTCATTCCCATCCTCGTCCATTTCCTTAGGTTTGATTTGCAAAGAACCCATATATATAGAAAACTACGTGGCAAAAAGAAAAGAAAATATTAGGGCAACCACGTGGAATCCCCGCTGGTGGCGGCGGCGGTGGTGGAGGTAAAATTGGCGGCGGCGGAGCGGCGGAGAGAGGTCGCGTGGGGTGTTGACGATGATGAAGTCAATTCTAGGGTTAGGGTTTTGGCGCGGAAGGAGCTCTAGCTATGGCGCGTGAGGGCGCTGCGACGTTCTGGCTCGTGGCGCCGCCGCGGCGCTGGATCGGAATCCGCTGACGACGATGCCAAGGCGGCAGCAGGTGTGTGGCGCAAGAATCGCGACCCGGATCGGGAATTCATGTCGCGGGCCTTGTCGATCTCTCTCCCCCATGGCAAGAGCGCGCGGATTTGCGACAATTCAATGCAGTTCCAGCGCCTGGACGAGCTCCTCAGCCTCCTCCGGAATCTCAAGGCGGGATTGTCGCTGTAGGTGAGAGATCGGGAAGGGTCAAGCCAACGCATGCCCAGAATGGGTGGCTCTTCCAGGGATTCTTACACGAATGTAGATACAGCAGTAGGCACGATTGTATGGGTGAGGCGCAGGAATGGATCGTGGTGGCCGGGGAGAATTATCTCGGACTCCGAGCTCTCTACAGCGAATCTCCTCTCACCCAGATCGGGGACTCCCGTCAAGCTTCTCGGGAGGGAGGACGGCAGCGTGTAAGAACCTACATTTTGCTTTGCCATGCTTGCTTGGATGATCTTTCTTTTCCTTCTGGTTTGGAGGTGCCATCTCCCGGAAAAATTTAATCTTGGATGGTTTTTCGTGGTTTTCTTGGTCGATATTGGATGGTCTTTGGTGCTTTGCTTGTTGAGAATAGTATGGTGGTTCTCACCGTTTGTCTTTACCAGCGATTGGTACAACATTGAGAAATCAAAGAGGGTGAAGCCTTTCCGCTGTGGAGATTTTGAGGAGTGCATCGAGAAGGCCAAGGCTGTAGCAGGATTGCCAACCAAGAAGAGGGAGAAGTATGCACGGCGAGAGGATGCTATTCTCCATGCTTTGGAGTTGGAGAGGCAGCAGCTGGAGTGCTCGTCCGGGTTCGTGGAGTCCTCGGCATACAGAAAGAGGGAACAGTATGACGGGGAGAGGGAAGTAAGCACTGTCGAAGGCACTCGTTCACGCTCACGCTCACGATCACGACGAAAACGGGTGGTAAAACCGATAGTATCAGACGATGACACGGATTCGGGGAATTCTCGAGTTTATCCAGAAGAGGACGATAACTCTGGTGGGCTTTCCTCCTCCGGTAGGGGGCAAGAAGAGCAAGAGTGGAACCCTGACGAGGACGAGGTGGAAGGACTCCGTAGAATGCGGGGATTGCAGGACTTCGGACTTCGAACAGCCGGAAGAGGGAGAAGGTCTGCCAGTGTCTACGATGAGAACATAGAGAATCACCAGAGTTGCGTGACTCAGAGTGGGAAGGGCTCAACGTTAAATGGCATTAAAGTTCCGTCGTTTACTACAAAGAGGAAGAGAACTGTGGCTGGCGGGGCAGGGGAGGAAGGATCGCTTAGGAAGCGTGACCGCAGGAGGCCGCTTACGCAGGTTTTGGAAAGCAGTGCAAAGTTTCTGTCGGGTGACGGTGAGCTGATGCACATAGTAGACGAGGATGATGCTCTTGTAGAAGGAAACCAGGCTGTAGGGGGGCTGGAGAGGATGGGTGTGGAATTTACTTCTTCAGTCGCCGAAGGTTGCAGAGAGGATTTTTCTAACAATACGACAGGTGTAGCCGACAGGACTTGCTGCAGTTTCTCCGGTCATGCCACCGGTGATTGCTGCGATGGATCTCATCCCTCTGAAGAAGTAAGTCTGAGAGGAAGATTTTTTTTCAGCAATGTGAGTCGCCTCTTTGTCAGCTGCCCGCGATTTCTGACTTGTCCTTTTCAGGAACTATTTGAAAGCGCACGAAAAGGGTACGAAACGGATCACCAGAGGGCGAGACGGTGTTTGAGAAAGCTGCGAGAAGAAGGTTTAGTCTGTCTTTTAGCCGTGAAAAAAGGTGGTGCTGCTGCTAACCAATGAAGTTTTGCGTTTTCCAGGGGCAGCACCGAGAAGGATTCTTGTAAAGCAGGAGCACGACGAAGGTGCGTCGGGTGACACGGAACAGGTTACAGCGAAAAGACCACCCTCGAGGCTCGGACAGATCAAGACCGAGAAGGAAACCGCATGGTACCAGGAGGAATGGCTGGACGTTCCAGTGGAGAAAGACAGCATCGTCCAGAAGCCGTCGGTGCCAATGGTTCTACTAGCGAGCAAACTGACCAGGCGAGCTGTAGTTGGATACCCCGTGGTTGTGGAGGCCATCGAGGGCGGTACGTCCGACGAAGAACAGGATGCCTGTTTTAGACAGGAAGGGATTGCCGGAAGCTCTTCTTCGCGGAGAAAGGCCAAGCCGCCACACAAAGAGAGCCTGTCCAAGAGGCTGGTGAAGAAGGTGGTGGCGTCGTCGAGGAAGACGAGGACGCTGTCGTCGATCGCGAGCGAGCAGAGGCCCAGTGTACATTTACAGGGGACGGGGATAGGAGTGAATAACACAGGCGGAGGAAGAGCTTGGAACGGACGTGAGTTTGAGGAAGAGAACTGGCCTGTGGCTGCTTGCGTTCCCGTAAGGGTGGCTCTCAGCAGGATCAAGGCAGCAGTGAGTGGACCTCTCGAGACTTGACGACGACGACGAACACACTGCTGGACGACAGTGAAGCTACGACTGGAAGAAGAAAAGGGCCTCTCGCTTCCTTTTGTTTCCTGAAAGAAAAGCTTTGTACAGTCGCTTCGAAAGCATGGAGCCCCGGTAAGTTAGAACCTGGTGAGGTGTGTACAATCAATCTGTGCTTCATAGGTTCATGACAACCTTTTTTTTTAGAACAGGATAGAGCTTGGATCAACTGACCAAGTTTCTGGGAAACAAAGAAAAAATTCTTTCAGGGGGGTAACATTTGTGAGTGCCAAGAGCTCCGAAAGTTCTTTTTCTATCTTCAAGAGGCATGTACATAGTGTGCTACCACCCCTGGTAACGTAGAACGAAGAGTTCTTTTTTTCCGTGGAAAAACAACGAAACTCTTGAGAATAAAACACTACGTCGCACTAGTGATCTTCAAAGTTCTCACCTTTATTGCCGCTCTCCTCCAGACTCTATTCGGTAGCTCCATCTTGGTTCATCGTCTCAGTCCCGGCAGCCTTGGCATTTTCTTTGGTTGGAGTCGATGGTGCCAGCGATTCTTTCTTCTCTGCCGGTAAAGCTTCTGGATTTGTTCCTTCGATGGGCTCATTGGTTGGTGGTCTCGCAGCCCTGTTTAGCACCAATCCACCTGCTGTTACTCTATCACCACCGCCACCATCGTGTTCTTGAGCTGGAGTGGCGGTCTTGGTTTCCGGTTGCTCAGGCGTGGAGACGCTCTTCTTGGCTTCGTCTTCTTTGCTTTTCTCGGTGGGAGGAGCGACGCCAGCGCCCTCTGGCACGGCAGGCAAGAGCTCATGCTCGTCTTCGTTCATGCGCTTGTGAGGCTTGAACGCGACAACGAGATGGATCTCCCCTCGGTTTTTCTCGTCTTGAGGCTTTCGAGGATCTTTGACGAGTTTCACCCACATATCCTTCGGGGTGTTTGGTTCCAGCTGAAAGAAAAGGTGTCTCTGTCTGTGAGGAAATGGACGAGTCTTTCTAAGTTTCTTTACCTCTCGAATGGGGATCTCGGCAAAGCCAAGAAAATCAGCAGCGTTCATCTGGTCCGAGTCCATCACCCTGAGGTTTAGCTTCTGGGTCTGGGGATCCTCGACCTTCGAAACAGAAACTTAAGCAGTGGAAGAGAATCTAGACTTTGCTTACGTCGACGATAAAGTGCTCGTTCCAAGTGGGATTGCTCGTGTTGCTTTTGGTGGCCGTTCTTTGCATGAGCTCTTGCTTTTGTCGGACGTACACATAGACGAAGGGATCAGACTTGCCGAACGTTTCCTTGTTGAGCAAACGCTTGGCTTCTATGATGTGGACTTCAAGATAAGCGACAGGTCGCATTTCCATAAAGCTGCAAGCCAAGGATGGCCAGGATAAGAAAAACAATCCACACAATCTTTCCGGGATACCTGTAGTCGCCGGGAAGTATTGGAATCACCATCCTATTCGGCCAGACAAGCAAATCCATCACCGCGTTCCTTATGATTTCCTGCCAACCAAAGCAAAGTTGAAACACAGCTTCAAACCAAAGAAAAGTTTATGCTCACGTCGATCATTCCATCCAGACCAGGGAGCTGGAGCAGGTCACCGCCGAGGAACTTAGTCTTGAAATCTATGGTAGGCTGTGCATTGAACAAGACATGAGTGATGTCAATAAAAAGGAGCACACTTACAGGTTCTCTCAGCGAAACCACAGCGGCACCAAAGCACGGCAACTGGTCGGTCAGAGGCTTGAGCACAGCTCTCAGAATTCCATAGAAGACAAAGTCTTTCACCTGCGAATCACAACATACACTTTCCAAGCGAGACAAACGAGTCCATTACCTGAACAGTGAAATCCGGTCCAGTTGTCTGTACTTCAAGAGTAAACTTCTGATCTTCACCATGCCTCCAGTCGACTTCAACTTCCACCATTGCTTCGTTCTTCCCTACGCCAGTGAACTTAATGCCTGGTGAAAGAAAGGACAACGATTGAGCTGAGAAAACAAAAAAAAGAGGAACGAAGAACGCACATACCTCCGATCATAGGAGCAACCTTTCCCAGAGTAACGGACTTTACGTTGAGTTTCTGGATCGGCCCAAACTTGTATTGATCCAGCACTGGTTGGATTTGCATCCTGATCATCTCCGAGGCTGCTTGATCCAAGAAAGGCCAAACTTCTTCGAGCTCCCTGTTGAGCCAAGTAACCTGTTTAAGTTGGTTTTGTCAAGCACAAAGTGATAGAAGTTCTAATGTGATCGTCCGGTACCTTTTCAAAGTCTGTGATGTTTTGGATCCAGCTTGGCAGTGCCTCGATAGGAAGAAATCTCTTTAGAACCTGAGCATCAGCAATGGAGAGCTGCGCGATTGTCACAGCCTGCGGGAAGAAAGAATTTAAAAACCATCTGGAACGATTGGCCTCACTCTAGAAAGAATTACCTTGTGCATTCGCTTGCGCGTCCGATAGACACCGAGGTAATGGAAAGCCCCCATGGTTCCCATCCCCATGACGGTCCCGGCGATGATCTGCCCGATGAAAGAAAGCCTGGACACCCAAACCAGACCTCCCCATACCAGCGGCGCCAGCGCCGCGACCGTGGCGATCGCGATCCGCGACCTCTCCTCCCGGATCAGCGTCCATGCCAGATTAGAGCTCGCCTCCATCGCCGCGACAAGAATTCGATCGATCGATCAAAAGATTAAGCTCAAAGAAAATGAGAATCTCTCTTTACTCTCTTTTGCCATTAACCACGATGGACGGTCGCGATCGCGTCACGGTACTTGCTCGCCATGTGGGCAGCCGTAGGATTGCCACGGATCCACTAGGCCATGCAAACGCGACACGTGTAAACCCTAATTATCCATAACACTGTTTAAACGTAAATGTCCAAAGCGTTGTTTCTACAGTCTAGTAGCCTTCTTTGTAGACGCAAGGTTTTGAGCTGTGGAGTGTCGGCTATGGCGGATCCATCGGCGGCAACCAAGGGCGACGCGACACAAGGTAGGATTTCCATCGAATTATCGATCGGCGTATCGTTTTGACGCGTTCTTGGCGCCAGATGGCCTGAGTCAGCTCGCGCGGAGCATTCTTCCTCACATTCTCAACCTGTAAGTGCGCCATTTCGATTGCTTTCGCTGCCAATCCCTCGAGATTTCATGGTTTTAGATACAATTGCAAGGCGAACGCGGCGGATTTTGATGTCTACGCATCGAATGCCACGTTTGAGGACCCGCTGATGCGCGCAAACGGGTATCAAGGCATCGCTCTCTCGATCGATCGATTCATTCTATGTGATTTCTTTCTTGCGCAGTGTCCCGCAGATCAAATCGGCCTTCTACTCCATTCCCAAGGTAAGAGAAGAGAAGCCATGTCCACAAATTCGAGTGATTCCGCTTCTAACGCATCGATGGATTGGAAGGTGTTTAGCGAGGGACGAATCTCGGACGACTACAGCGTTGTGGAGGAGCCAGAGAATGGAGAGATTCGCATTGACAACGTCCAACACTACAAGTTTCTGGGCCGGCAAATCGACATGCCGTCACTCATCAAGCTCAAGGTATTAAAGAAAAGCTTGAGAAGAATCTCTTCCATTTTCGTCAGAAGAATCTCTCACAGTTTTCGATTCTTTCTTCTTTGATCAGGTCGAGAATGGGAAAGTGATCAGCCACCAAGACTTGTAAGCCATGATCTACTTCGTTTAGAGACTTACTTCGTGTTTTCAGGTGGCATAAGCAGCCATTAAAATCGAGAGACACAGTGAAGCTCCCGCTGGTGGGACGATTGGCCGAATCGGTGAGACGAGGAAACATGATGATCACGCATTTGCTCATGGGTTGCGGCAAAGATCCAGCCACCGCCGCGTAAAAAATCACAAGAACAGCTCCAAGCTCTTTGGAGCTTTGTAAAAAGATTAAGATTCTACCATTAATTAACAAGTAAATAAACTGTGAAGCCCTTTCGCGTAAAAACAAAAAAAGTCAAACGTGAAATAGTGACAGTAATGTCCTGTCTTTTACAATCCCAGAGAAATTCCTACGTTGAGTAGCATTCACAATAGTTCTTCGCTAAAGAATCTTCCACATTCTAACACATTCTAAACGACAATTTTAATCGCAAGTATAAATAAGATTTTCTCCTCCATAGCTTCTCAAGCCTAGCAAGCAAGCAAAGATGGTTTTCCAGCTTCTACTTCTTGCTTGCTTGCTCTTCCAGTGCCAAGCGATTCTCGGGTCTCCTACAAAGAAGGTGAGAATGATTTCCAGCGTGCTTAAGCTTGAAAGTGGAAAAACTTCCAGGCCTATATCGCATATCTGGGAACTAGCAAAGGAGTGGAATCGAGCGAGCTCACCTTGATCCACCATGACATACTTGCAAGAGCTGTTGGAAGGTTTGATCGATTCCCTTTGTGTCTTGGCGAGGCTCACGCTTCCGAGAATTTGTCTTGCAGCATCGAGAATGCTCGCTCGTCCATCATCTTCAGTTACAAGTACGCCTTCAGTGGATTCTCGGCATACCTGACCGAACAAGAGGCCGAAACAATCTCCAGTTAGTCATTGCTTAACACATGAAAAGTACAAACCGATCGTTACCATTGTGTAGGAATGCCTGAGGTCCTCAACATCTATCCCAGCAAAACGCTCCATCCACTGACAACACACTCGTGGGATTTCCTCGGCATGGCCATGCCAGCCAAAAGCAGTCACGCTGGATCTCCAAGTGCTCCCACTGACGTGATCGTCGGGCTTCTGGACACAGGTAACTTCACAAAGCTCGCCCGAAAAAGCTCGATGTGCTTACTTGTTCTGTGCGTAGGAATCTGGCCGGAGTCGGAGAGTTTCAAGGACACCGACATGGGACCTGTGCCAGCTCGTTGGAAAGGAACTTGCGTCAATCCACCAGGCACCAAAGCCAATGAGACTGTCAACTGCAACAAGTACGTGTTATAGTTTGCCAGAAGAAAAGACTAAAGTGATGAATGAACTCCTTACCAGGAAGCTCGTTGGAGCCAGATACTATAACGGAGCGAAAGTCTCGACGGGTCCATACAAGAACTCGAGAGACTCGGTTGGACATGGAACTCATACGTCGTCGACAGCTGCTGGGAGCCTGGTTCCGCACGCGAGTAAGAGAGGACTCGCTCCTGGCACGGCCCGAGGAGGAGCTCCAAATGCTCGGATCGCCATGTACAAAGTCTGCTGGACGGATAGCTGCGAGGAGGTTGACATCGCTGCGGGTTTCGACGATGCCATCAACGACGGCGTGGATGTCCTGTCCATCTCACTCGGAGGCTATCCCGCAGTTTACAGCGTAGACGTCATTGCGATTGGTGCCTATCACGCCGTCGAAAGAGGGATCATGGTCTCTTGCGCTGGTGGAAACTCTGGACCATTTACTGGATCGGTGTCCAACGGTGCTCCCTGGATCTTCACAGTCGGTGCCAGTACAATCGACAGGGAGATCAACGAGGATGCTAAAATAGCAGCCAAGTAAGTATAACAGATGATCAAAAGGTGATGGAAACTTACTCTTGGCCTCGTGGTTTCTGTGCAGTCGTAAATCACGAATTCTCAGAGGAACAACGATTCCTTACAAGCCAGCACCTGTCGTAGCGGAGTTTTCGTCAAGAGGTCCACACACAATCAGTCCGGATATCATCAAGGTACTCGAAAGACATACCATGAAGCTTGTGACTTATCTCGCGTTGCAGCCGGACGTTACCGCTCCAGGAGTCGAGATCTTAGCAGCTTGGCCAAGCAATATCCCCGACACTGACAATGGAAAGGAAGTGTTCGTGGAGTACACTTTTCTCTCTGGAACTTCCATGGCGTGCCCTCACGTCAGTGGCACCATCGCTTACTTGAAATCCATTCACCCAACATGGAGTCCTGCGGCGATCAAATCAGCAGTCATGACCACAGGTAAGTCGAGAGAAAACAAAATAAAACTGGAGACTCAAGAGTGTTCTTGGCAGCTATCACCAAAGACAACACCAACAAAACAATCGTCGATCCAAGCACTAACAAGGCAGCGACTGTTTTCGACGTTGGAAACGGTGAGATCCAACCAGCAAAAGCAGTCGATCCAGGACTAGTCTACGACACTGATCCTCTCGACTATATCACCTATCTCTGTAACTCGGGCTATACCTCCAAGCAAATCCAAAACATCACAGGCGACAGTAGCAGCAAATGCCCCAAGAACGACACCTCTTTCAGCCTCAACTATCCCTCCATCGCAGTCCTCTTGGATGGATCCAGCAAGACGGTGGAGAGGACAGTGACCAATGTGGGAAATCCCAGCGCGACCTACACCGCTTCCGTGGGAAGCGCCAAGGGAATCTCGATCTCGGTCACTCCCACCAAGCTGAGCTTCACAAGCGCCGGACAGAAGCTGACCTACAGCGTCACCGTCTCCGCCAAGGGATCCATAACGGCGGATCCCCAAGCGCCGAAATGGAGCTTCTCGGATCTCACCTGGGAAGATGGAGTGCACGTTGTGCGCAGCCCGATCGCCGTGAGAATGTAGCGTTAGAATCGAAAGAGAAATATTTCCACTTTTAACTTCAAATTACCCTTAAACTGCATGTAAATCTAAACTACATCTAGAAACAGATTATTAAGGAGTTCCTCTAAGGGAGCAATTGAAGTAGGTAGAGTTTTTATTTCTTTTGAGAATTGTTGACTATTGTATACAAATTATCACAGTTTTCTCTTAATTTGCAAAGGGCATGGGAAAGAAATTACAATTAATTGCATGGGTTTGTATTTGAAGCCCACAATACCTTCAATTTAGGATGTTTTAAAAATGTTTTTTGATGGGATTCATATAATACCAAATTACAGTCACTTTGAAGAGAAAGAAATGTTTTTACTATATCACAATTTCTCTTGTTATTACAATATATATTAGGAGACCAAACCATAATTGAATTATCAGAATACAGTACAATATTCCCATCCATTTCTATCTTAAATTCAGAGTTTTTAAAATTTGAAGATCCTTTATACCATTTTATATCATTTCTTACATATAAAGCAAGAATGCAATTTAAATGTAAATATAAATAACCTTTCTTATTTGGTGATAATAAAAATTCAGTAGCATTTAAGGAATTTTAAGGCATGTTACTAATTAAAGTAGTGAGATCAATTCTATAATCAAGTAAATTATTGGATATAGTATTTTGAATTTTTGGTAATCCATGTGCAGAATTTTTTTCCATAAACTCAATAGCATAAGAACCAAACACTATTCTAACAAATCTTGCACGTAAATTTAGAATACGATTATGATATAAATTTAATAGAGTAGCCAATCTATGTCTTACATTATCACCATCATCATGTTCATATTCAACAAGATTTGCCCCGCAAGTTGTATCAATAGATTTTCCATTTAAACTATAAATCCATATTTGATTTGTCATGCTTAAAGGACCATATATATCATCTTGTATTGTATAATCATATTGCATACTTTGACCTTTTGGTAACTCTCCAGATTCAGTGTTATTAATCATTAATACAAGAGCAAGAATAATTAAATTAACACTCTCAATTGTCATACTATTTTGTAGATAAAAATTTATAGTTGAAATAGTAAATTTTATGAATAATATCAAGAAGATAGAGAACATTATTTTAAACATTTACAACTCAAATCTTAAGATTTAAGCTTGGTGAATCTATGTCTTTCAAAAGTATCAGAGGCAAAACTTGTATAAATGGCACCACACATATGACTTGAAATTACTACTTTACACACATAGCTTTCATTATTTAAGTTCTAAGGTTTTTAAGTTGTAATGCAGACATTAACATTCTTTCTCTCAAAATCTAACAATTGGCTAAATCATAAAACATAAGTATTAATTAAAGAATTTTATGTTTTTTAAAACTTTTATTCTAAGTAACAACGTGTGGAAAATTGAGAGCTATTAACTAATTGTAGACTAACACTCAAGCTTTTGTTTTAATTTGCATAATAAAAAAATAAAAATGTTAGCAATTAAAGAAACTGACTCAATAGATGATCCATAAGGGTTCAAATATATAGAAAAAGGGCCCATAAACAAAAATGCACCTTTTTATTTGAATTGGTTAAAGGTTTTAGAATACTTAGAGTTAAATGTCATTGGGTTTGGGTAGTACTACTTATTTTAAACATCTTTATAAAATGTAAAGGCTCTAAATATAGAAATATGCATATTCATATTAACCTAATGTAATGCATGTGATCATGGGATAAGATTTATATATACTATTACTATGGATCCTTGGAACCTTAGGGGATAAATAGGGATAAAATAGCTACTAAGGGCTCTATTATTAAGCAATTGCCTCTTTTTTAATTGGCTTAAGGGGAGAGAAATACAGTGCGTTAGATGTGGTATTAGAGAGAGATTTACCTTACCAAATGGTGTTATAAAGGATCGTGTCGTTAGACTTACATGGGTTTTCCATGTTAGTATGTCGACTTTACTTTTGTTGATATCATTTGGTTGCGTTTAGTTCATAGTGTTAAATTTCATTGAGTCTTGGATGTGGTGATTCACTCCTTAAAGAAGTGTTATCTATAACTGAATTTTGCTGAGGGTTTGGTCTCGAATACTGACTAAAATATTTTTGACTTTGGTTAGCTTAGTTGTTAAAGAGTTTTGGGTGGTGGTTCACTTGTGCTTTCTTTTAACTTTGTTTTAGTGTTGATGGCATTGAAGTGATGCTTTGTTGTTGACATTGTTGTGTAAGCAACCAATGAGAATGACTTGAAAAATGATTCATAGGTTTAAATATAAAGGGAAAGGGCCCATAAATAAAAGTGCACCTTCTTTTTTAATCGGTTAAGGGTCTTGGGATATTTAGGGTTAAGCATCCTTGGGTTTGAATAGTATTAGGCTAGATGACCTCCCAAGAAGTCCAAATTCAAAAACTTATATATTGATGTTAAGATTTAAG